GCTTCTACTTAACTCTTTTGAAGATAGTGTTCAGAGTTTCCTGTTCAGTGCTCGAAAACAAGATGTTTATCCACTTCATAGTCTCCCTTGGCCTTTTGTGCTGTAGTGATTGTGTACTGCATTGTAAGAAATGATTTGATTGCCAGATTCTCTTATGTTTGCCCATCATTTTAGATATATATGCGTGTACATACAAAAGGTTGATAGTTCAACTTTCAGTCATTCTCTCTGAACTTCTTCTACCAGGACACTGAAGCTCAAAGAGAGTAATTCCTGTTGATTTTACCACACCCAGGTTAGTTTGTCTTGCATTTTCTGAGCCATTTCTGTTGCAGAGTATATTTTCAGTGTTGTGCCCAGACATGCGATCTCCTGTGTAGAATAATATGTACATCAAGTAATCTGGATTCAGCTTGCATTTTGCACCTATTGAGACTGCTGATCAGAGTCACGGATTGGCCGGTGTTGGGGGGCAGAGGGAGAAGAGAGGCATTGGGAGAAGTAGTCATTTCTGAAATAGCTTAGCAGTCAGTATATATAACATTTTCCCCAAACTACCTCCAATTAGCCATGTAAATTAAAAAACAGCCAACCTTTTCAAAAAAATGTTCCTAAAATGTATGAATGCATTCTGGTTTTCCATATTCACAAAAAGTAAAGGATCTGTGTGCTCAGCATAAGTCAGCCAGCAGGCTGAGGGTTCGCTAACAGAAAATGTTTAATTCTCCCAGATGTTTAATTCATCTTCAAACTTTCTATTCAGCCACTTCATAGTACTGGATATGCTAGCTAATAATAGGAAATGTTTTTGTTTTTATAAGTTTTTATTCTCCCAGTAAGCCTTCTTGTAAATATTTAATGGAAAATCAATAGTTTTGAGGTATTGCCCAACATCTGTGCTTCAGTTAATTACATATAGTTTTATTCCAGTATTTTAATAGTTTCCCCTTCATCTTGAATCATGACATATGCCATACTACATTTTATGTGTAACTAAATTCACTTGGAGAGCTGAGTCTGTCATCCAATTAAGGAAATCTTTGATAATCTGTATGCATTTCACTTGATTTAATCAGTTAGAATGATCTAGAAAAATATGCATGTGGAAATCAGTGTGATATGTGCAGCAGGCCCTACACTTTGTAGATATTAGGGGGGCAGGGCCTCTTTGAAAATGGAGAAACACTGAATTTTTAAAAAGCTAATTTTGTTTACCTCAAAGAACCCTTTCTAAGGATCTCTAGGAACTCCAGAATAACTGTATGGTCAGCCTCCATCAGACATTGACCATAGAGTCATGCTGGAGGACTTTCAAATTTCCACAAAAGTGATCTCTCTAGTCCTCTGCCGAAAGTTGATCATAGAATCAAGGTGAAAGATCTAGATCAGGTATGAGCAAACTTTGGTCCTCCAAGTGTTTTGGACTTCAACTCCCACAAGTCCTAACATCTGGTTGAAGTCCAGAATACCTGGAGGACCAAAGTTTGCCCATGCCTGGCCTAGAGATTCCTAGATAAAGATAATCAAATCCACAAAAGTTAAAACTCGTAAACACGGAGGGCAAACTATCCCATAACTAAGTTCAGTCTTGCTGAGCTCAATGACTCTATCCCAGAAATTATTGGACTGCAACTTTGATTTTTTTTCCCATTAGTTATGCTGCCAAGGACTGATAAGAGTTGCAACCCAAATACAACTGGGGGATGGCAATTTCCGTACCCCAATCTATTTTAAACTTTGGCAAAATCTAATGTGGTTTTAAATTATGCATCAGTTTATTAGAGCAAGATTTATCTGAGAAGATGCATTCCTTACTAAGTGATTTTTTAAAGCACCTCTTTTAAAATGTGAACACATGTGAATTCTAAAAGTACTTTTAAAATATACTGTAAAACCTTTTAGAAAGTTGGGACTCAATCTACAGTAAAGGAACAATTCTTACTAATTAATTAACAAACGGGTCAGCCACATAGTATATTTATTGCTATTGGAATGTTTGAGAGGGGATTAGATTTAAAGAAGTCAGTATTGGTAATGGTACCAAATTCAGTCCACACAAATTCCTTCTTTTATTAAGTTTTTTTTCCGTTTTTGTTAGACAGTATGATACTGTATAGTCCAGATTCCACAGCTTTATGTTCTTTGGAATTTACAGCATTTTTTTTTAAAAAAAACAACTCCAAACTTCCTTTTGTTTTGCTTATCTTCCAAATATTGGTCATGGATGTTGGCTTTCATGTCCTTGCAGATGCCACTGTTCTTCTAATGGGACTTCTGCCTGTTGGAGTACTTTTTGCCTGAAATGCCTCTCTAAGCATTCCATAACAAGCGGAGAGGCTGCTGTTTCAAATTTGTTGGCAAACAGATGAGGAGATTCAGCAATCCACTTTAAGTCTCCAAGCCCATACACACAAATGTCTCTGACATAAAGACCTGCAAAACAGAAATTGCTAATTAAAATCTCTAATTGGGTATATTCCAGGAAAGGAAACATTCAATTACAGGCAGATGTTATATAATAAAAGTAAAGAAAGTTGGTTCTCCATCCTAAATCAGACTTCATAGAAATACCATGCCATGCCACCAATGCTTCATTTGCTTTTGATTCAATTCTGGTGACATCTCCTTGAGTCATATTAATCAAGGACATGGCTTCTCAGATATATGTTTAGGGATCAGGTGAGTTGGATGGTGGAAGGACCATAGGAACAAAGAGGGCTCTTGTCCTCTTCCCTTTCAATTGTCCATTTCACATTTTATTTTGGAATTATTTACTCAAGAAGCAATCCGATTGTTGCAGTACAGCAGTAGTGAAGCTATCCTTGCTAATGAGAGAATAAATGTATACGACTGTGAGGAGTTGTGAGGAGTTGTGTATTTCATGGTGTTGAGGCCTGTGAAGCCTCTGAGGATGAGGACGAGGATGTTTTGGTTGATCCTGGTGTTTCTGTTGAGGAAAGTGACAGTATTTTTCAAGACGACGGGAATGTTTTGAGTAGATCTGTTGTTTGGGAAACAGGCAATGATTGTCATGAGAATCAGCCAGGGATTGACTCTGAAAGGAATATGGAGGAGACAGGAGGGTTACAGATAACCCAGCATTTACAGATTAGGAGGGATAGTGTGAAACAGACAAATCCAGTATTCCCAGAGACTGAAAGATAAACAAAGGGAACACAGGTATGAGAAAGGATGATGTCATGGGCAAGAGGGAGTATTTTTAGGAATTGCAGTCAATGTTCGGTGGGGAGATCAACATTGGATTTCCATGTGTCAGAGTGTTAGAGGAGTTTTGTTCTTGGTTCTGTATCTTGTTTTCCTGTTTAAATTCCATGTCTCCTGTTTGGATTATAAATCTTGTTTCAAGTTTAAAGCCTTTGGGATTATACTCGAGTTCAAATACCAAGTGCAACAACCCTTGGACCACAGTTTCTTGCTTTTGCCTTAGGTGATTTTGGAAATCTGAATAAGATAGGAGTTGGTCCTTTCTTTTTGTTAAGCTTCTGGAAATCTAGCTCATGGATGTATTTTGGAACTGTTTTTATTTTAGATACTTTTAAAAAAATAAACTTACTATTCTTGTTCATTTGTGTGGTGTTTTGGTGATAAAGGGATCAGGTCGGCGACTGGGCTGCAACACATGGGCAGAGCAACTCACAAAGTTAATTTAGTAGATTGGTTCCCAATGTTTTTTTAAAAAAATCTCTACTACTAATATAGGTAGGAATAAAATTTTGAAAATTACAACCTAAGTCAAGTTGCATCATAAAGGAGGATCCAGTCAGTCTTTGTCAAACATGTCAAGTTTATTGACATTTTGAAGGCATGGGGAAGGAATAGAATTTTATAGAAAATTCTGAAAATGCAAAATCCCCTTTAAAGACTGAAATAACTTTGGGACTACACAATGTATTATATATAATATAAATACTTAATATAATGTATTATGTACAATGTGTTCAACAGCTCATACCAGTCCACAGGCAACCACTTTTGAGTAGCTTTGCTGTACATAATCCTTTACCGGCTGCAGTTTTTAGAAAGAATGTGGAGAAGGGAGTACATTTGTATTTCCTTAAAACATTTCAATTTTCATCTTAAAATAAAATGTTCAATAATATTTTCTCAATTTTTCTGAGGGGAAGGGGATTCCTTCAGTTTTTCTTCCACTGGGCTTTCACTGCTTTAGTTTTTATCACTAGACTAGGTGGTGCCCTGATGTATTCAAAATCATTTCCTACTTCTACTTGCATCAATAGATGGAAAGCTATGTATCTATGTAGAGTTATAAGTAATGTTTCTTCCTATTAATTACAGTCATTTAGTCAAGAATTTCCCTGTGTAAAAATGTTTTCATCATATACGTATTTGCATCTAGGGTGGTCACCATACTGTTCTACGTATGAGCATTTGGGTCAAGAGTCTCTAACCTTTCTTTAGTTGTATCCCTCTCTGAATCCTCAGAGTCTCATTGTCTACAGAGGAATAAATGGAACAGAAATCAGCATGTAAACTACCTCAAACTCCCTTGAAGGAAATTTAAATAAACAATGATAACCTTAACCAAACATGTCATATACATGTGAATGTATGCTTGCTATTTATTTCGGAATGAATAATGTACATATTGTGCTTAAGTTCCAAGAACAATATTAAGTGATTTAATAGCTCAGAAATGGATGAACCCAATAAGTACAGTGTTCAGCTCTTTCCAGCTTCTGTTTGGTTTACTGGAAATAATGTGAGCCATAATGCTCAATTCCTATCAACAAATGAAGGTTGCACATGATCGGGTATTGGCAGATAGCTCTATCTGTGTGTCTTGATCAGAATTCATTTGTATTTAGTTACAACATTTTACCTTTGCAGCCATCATGCATTTTCCCTTCTTGATCTCGCCACTTGATAGCTCGTATGTTTCCTTCCCACGTTAAATCTGGTGTAGCACCTGGAGCATCTACAACCAAATTGAAAGCTGAGTTAACTGTGATTTTTAAATAGATATATGCATATTTGTTTGAATTTATGTGCCACACAGTGGCTGGTAGTTATGGGTGCCCCCCCCCCCAATATTTGGGACGTAGTAGTCTATTTATAGTGTTGTTTTTTCATTTCACAAGGTAAACTTGTTGGTCAGCTATCCTTGTTCTATTTTCAGAAGTGTTATTCTGAAGTTTATAGTAGCAATGTTCACCTTATAATCTACAAAGCAAATAAAACCGAGTGTCATGGCTCCATCCTATTTCTCCTTAATTCTGTAGATTTTCAGGACTCTCCCAGTACTTTATTAAAGGTGAAATCTTGAGTCCTGATATTGAAAAGGCTGTCTTAAAACTCTGCCAAGAATGAACTTGCACTTTTAGAAAAAAGGATTTGGCTTCAAATGGTTCATTTGGAGAGAAAAAAACCCACGAAGGCTAAGATTTGGAAGAGTGTGACCATGTATGATATGTTTGGGGGGGGGGGGATCTTCAATGCAGGGCTGTAGCATAACCACCTCCATGACTCCCAGTGAGTGCAAGGAGCAGACTCTGAAGCTGAAGTCCCTCAGGATAATCTGCCTAGGTCTCCATGTCAGGAAAGAATGGAGCAAAAAGCAAAAGGGAGGAAGGGTATAGCTTTCTTTTTCTTTCTTTTTTCTTTGTCATTCTCATTATTTCTTTTCCCTCTCTCCATTCTTCATTCCCACCCATGGTAGGGTCAAAATGTTTATTTTCCTTAACTATGGAAATGATCACCAGTAAAGAGATTTTGAGATTGTACTGATAGCCACATATGATACTAAGTACTATGGATACTGTAAGGATGAATGCTGCTGATTCCAGCGCAGTTGATGTTGTGTTGATGAGCTACCAAATATGACATCCTTTGAAAATGACTTTGTATGGTTCCACCAATGTCATATTTTAAGGCTCCAGATTTTCTTTGAGATGGAAATTGCTCCACATATTTGAAGTGACACATAAATGGTGATAGCTCAGAATCAACACACTCTTTTTTTTTATCTTTCAGGACAACAGAATACTTGGGAAATGGGTGGTGTATAGCCAAGAACTATTGTATTTTTGTTTTAATCAGAAATGGGGAAAGCATAGGAATGTTTCCCCCCCCCCCCTTTGGAACTTTATTTGGGACACACACTAACATTGTGGTTGGTGAAACTGATATAATATATCACAAATGAGAATAGTTTTGAAGAATTATTTTTCTTCTTAAAACAAAACAGGATGATCTTGTAAACCTGATATACAGTTAAACAGCCATTATCTCTCCATTTGTTTACCTATTTTAACTCAGAAGTCAGAATAATCTCATAGAATTCAAAATTTGATTAATACTTGGTAGATATTGCTAATATTGTTAAAATGACTGGTGAAAAACTGTTAGTAATTCTGCTTACCTGGTAAGCGGTTCAGGGTGACCCAGTAATGCTCATCTGGGCTGTAGGTGTCCTTTGACCATTCTAGCAGATCTTTTGCACGTGTATCCGTCAGTGTAAACTCTACAAATTTTCTTGTGAGTACATAGTAGGCACCCCCAAAATATATAGTCAAATTGTGTGGTGGATCACTTTTCAATTGCTTTGTTGGGTAAACATAAGATTTTCCTGAATGTGCATATTCTTTATAACTCACATGTGTTCGGTGCTTCATGTGAGGTGGTTGAATAATTCCTGGGGTCATATTTTTACCATTCCATTTGCTTTTAATGTACTGTACAATTTCTTTGTTAGTTTTGATGGGATAATCCTGTCCACATAAATTAATGACATAATTCCACTGATTTTTTGAATGAATCAAATCCTTCATACAGTTGATATCTGCTTGCAGTCTGGAAAATCCTGCATAAACCACCGTTTCTCTTTTTGAAGCAATAAAAATGTTCTCAAAGCAGTTAACCAGGGTTTCCACAGCCAATTTGTAATCCTTGGGTGACTTCTGATCAATGTGTATACAGTAAATATTCTGCGGCAGATAAATGGCTCTAATTAACTTTATAAACATATCCAACTCCTTGTGAATAGTGATGATGTATGCCAGGGAGAAATTTCTTTCTTCTTCCGATAGTGGACTTGTAATGAAGTGGAGTTTCTTCTGGAGTGTTGAGCAATTGCAAGGGGTTTGTATGCAAGTAAGCATTTCTCGTCTGTGGTGGTGTTGCTCGCATAAACGGCCAACTTGAGCAGCAGCACCTTTCCCATCAAAGAGGGCTGAGCAGAGCTCGTCTGGATAAGAGCCACATTCTGGTAATTCAGAGAATTCATCTTGCTCTTCTTTGGATGTGGCATCCCTTACATAGAGAAATCCAAATATGAGGATACATGCCATGATGCATATCAAAAACCCTGATTTTGCTGCCTCAAGCAGGTTCATCTTTTGCACTCCAGATGCTTTCTTTGGACCATAGTTCAGTGAATTGGTGTGTCTTCTGTCTGAGAGAGTGAAAGAGGAAAAGATCAACCATCAAACATCTACATTCTGAGGAAGGTCTAATAAGTTACCTTGTTAAAGGGAGAAAAAAGTCGCCTTGATTTTGTGCATATGATTAGATTTCATTTTGTGAAAGACAGGCTCAATTGTGTCTGGAGGACTGTTTTGCCTTTATCAATCTACCATTTAGCTTTTGGAGTCTGAGTTTTTGTCTCCTCTATACTAAAAGCAATGTTCGTTTCTGTCTCGCTTCTCCTCTCTCTCAAACACACACACACACTGTGGCTTTACCTCTCTGTAGTCTGTTGATTCTGGAACTTCCTTCCCTTCCCTACAGACACACGCAATGAATGGGAACAAGAGGAAAGTTCCAGTAGGTGCAGACAAAATGTAATGAAAGAATAAAAGAAAGGGCAAAAATGGTGATTCATGATGATCCTGTCACATGTTGGTTGTGCTTCATGGCATTGGGAATTCAACATCACTATTTTGTTTTTAGATAATGGTTTTTTTTTCATCCCATGCATTCCTAACAGGAATGCAGAGAAAGTTACTTCTTATCCTAAGCTGCAACTACTTTTGAAATTATTTTGGAGGGCAAGGCAGGGTTAGTGCTTGTGGAAAAATAGGAGTCAAAGCACTGTTGGCTATATGGAACCGACACTGTTGCATACGTTTCCAAATCACATATTTGGTACTTAACTTGAAAAACGCTATTGAAACTTGCTAATAAGTATGGTTGGAACCAGAGTCATGCTTAGTGTAAATCACTTGATCTCAAGAGACCTAATGTTTTCATGACTAAGTAGTCCCATTAATTTGAATGGGTCTCCTCTGACTAAGCCTCGGGGAGTTTGTCCTTCTCACAGATAAACTCAAAGGAGAGTTTACAGATACAGTAGAGTCTTGCTTATCCAACCTTTGCTCATCCAACATTCTGTATTATCCAACGCAGTCTGCCTCCCGCCTGGATCCAGTTGTTTCAATAAATTGCAATGTTTTGGTGCTAAATTCGTAAATACAGTAATTGCTACGTAACATTACCATGTACTGAGCTGCTTTTGCTGTCAATTTGTTGTAAAACATGGTTTTGGTGCTTAATTTGTAAAATCATAGCATAATTTGATGTTTAATGGGCTTTTCCTTAATCCCTCTTTATTATCCAACATCTTCACTTATCCAATGTTCTGGGGCCCGTTTATGTTGGATAAGCGAGACTCTACTGTATACTAGAGCAAGAACAGGCAAGCTGTCATCTACCTTTCCCATATTCTCATTGGCTTGAAAATGAACGTTGCAAATATAAACATTCTTTGTCTGATAGGCTTTCCTGTAAATATTAGACTCCTAAGAAAACAGGATTCTAAAATTACAAGGAAGGCTGTATAGGCAACGGTCACTCTTTCTTGCAGTTGCCTGCCATGTATATTGAGTGAACAGAACAGCAAGGGGTTTGGTGGCTGGTTGCTGGTCCCTGCTCCCTTTATCATGTGCAGAGTTCACACAAGGAGAGTTTACCCACAACCATTATAAAACTTGCAGTAGTGCTGCTTCAATTTCCCCATGTTATTTACATTACTTTAATTAGCCACAAGAGAATACTTTTGAATATACAGTATAAAATTATACAACCTTCAAGTTTATCCTTTTAAAAAAACAGACCTGAGCAACATTTGTGGATCTAGGAGTGTTGTTTACATTTAATGTTTCCTGACCCATTTTAGCAAAATTGTTTACTATTACACATTTCTGAATAAGCTCTTACACAAACTTGGCTTTGTAGAAGTATCCTAAGCTTCTCAATGCACCAGTGTGTTTCCTTAGAGCTCAGAAAGGAAGATTCCATCCTTGAACATTGATATGCTGGATAAATGCAGCACTAGAAGACAGATTTAGAAACGGGAACATGGTTAAAATGCCTTGTGGCCATAAACAAACCATCACATGTCATTCATTTTACTTGCTATAGCACATGCTTGAAAACTTCACATATAAAATCAAAAGTATTATGAATTTGTCATTTTTAATCAGTCATTAATGAATTTCTCCTTTCTTATGATACAGACACAGTGCAACCAATGAACAGCACGATTACATGTATAGGAACATAAATATTTTCCCATATTGTTATAGTCTCAAAGTCTAAGCTTCATTTTAAATCAGTTATATTTTTGAAGCTGCATATTAATTCATTTTTCAAGCTCTTCAAGCAAAACATGCAAAAACATATGGAAATTTAGAAAGAACATAGACCTTGTTGTCCTTACTGACATGTCCAGGATTTCATATCGAAAGACTGTCCTTTCCCCAGACTTCATTGTGTTGAAATCTTTTCTGTGGTGTGCTGGAGGGAAGATGCATCCATTTTGCTGCTTAGTCCTATCTCTCTCTTAGTCACACTGCTCGTCTGTGGGGGCTGCCTGTGCAGGCCTAAAAAAAACAGCAAAAAAAACAATCCCCATGGAATAATGTTTGCCAGAGGGATAGGTTTACTATGTAAACATGTACATAGAAGCGTCTTAATAAGCATCCACTCAATCTGCAAATGTTTCACACTTGCATCAGTCTTTGGGCGATGTGGAGCACAGGGGGAGGGAGGAAGGGGAGGAGAGAAGTCCCTGAAAGGTGGACGCAAGGTTTTCTGAGCAAAACAGAATCACGCGTGCTTTCCCGTTGCTACTGGCTGCCAAGTGACTAACCGGGCCAAGAATAGATTGCATAATGGCCATTGTGTGCACTGTAGTGAGGATATGAGTGTGTATGTGTGATGCTGGAGAGTGTGCATGTGACAGTTACACAAAAAGGTGGAACTGTAGAATCCAAAGTGTTGTGTTAACTATCAGCAGTTGAAGAAACTGCAAAATCACTCTGGATTTGACAGATTTGTTATCAGTTCTGTCACCACATTCAGAAGCTCATAAGCACAGCATCATTTCTGCACTTCAGAAAAAGGCTTTTCAAGCTGTTTTCTCATAAATATCACAAAACTGCAGCCCCTCTTGAAATTTGTGGCCAGCGTTTCCCAGATTAAAAAAAAAAACATGTGCAGAGCAAACTGAATTACAGCCCATCTATTTTTAACCTTCCTTGACTTCAGCAACAAGCCTCTTCCTCAGTTTGATAATTTCAAAGTACAACTTTTATAAGGCAATCGTTTTCCAAGTGGCAAAAGCTAATAAAAAAGAAAAACGTGCAACAAAGACAGCCAACACCTACATTCAGGGTCACTCCATGGCAGAACAAAAACTGCAGCCTTTTTGCCCACAAGTGTCGCAGGGTGTGGGAAAGTGACACTTTTGGCTGTGGCTTCAAAAATCCCCCAGCCAGCATAGCTCCACAGGTAGGAACATGCTTCTCTCCTATTCACATTTCTGTTTGTACAAGTATATCTATATTAAAGGCAACACTTAAAACGGATTTCTAAAGCCCATGGACTGCTCTGCATTGATTTAAAAGTAAAATTGGTGTGTTTCTAGCAAGATTGGCTAGAAAAAAATGAATCTAATTGTCCTATAATGTGTAGTGTAGTGGCTTGAGTGTTGGACTACAACTCTGGAGACCAAGGCTGAAATCTCTGCTTGGCCATGGAAACCCATTGACCAGTCACACTCTTAGCCTTAAGGGAAGGCAATGGAAAGCCCCTCTGACCAAATCTTGCTAAGTAAATCCTGTGGTAAACTCACCCTAGGCCACGTAAGTCAGAAATGACTTAAAGACACACAAAAACAACAAATAATATTTTACCAACACCCAGTCGAAAAGTATAATGCAGACTTTAATCCTTTAGAATGGAGAGAGAGAGTGGGGATCCCTGTTCAATAGGGCAGTAGACTCTGTAGCCCAGAATGTGTGTTGTGAGTTAGGCTATTTTAGATTCATGTTGCTGTTTCTGAATTTTACTTAGGTCTTTGAAATCTATATAATTTTTCCATTGTTACAACATGCCAGGACAAACTATGCAAACGCTTTTTTAAAAAACCACTTTCACTTCCTTGTGGTCAGGATTTCCCATACATACTATTGTAAGCTACTGTTTGTTCTAAATGCTGTTTGAACAGAAAGTCTGTCATCCGTTTATCTAGAAGACACAACCCAGCAGTTGACACAGTGGGATTAGATAGCACTTTTACAGAAAGTAAGCATTGACGATGCCTGTACAAAGTGTAGGAGTTTATGATTCTACCTGAAGAGAAGAGTGCACTTTTTAATGGTAATGATTACATTAATAGTTAATGATATATGGGGCAAAGCTCACTGGTAGAATATGTGCTTTGTCTGCAGACTATCCCAGTTTAGTTCCGGTATCTCCATTTCAGAGTGTCAGATAACAGAAATAGGAAAGATTTCTGCAGGAAACTTTAGAGTGCATTTTCTAAAAGTGAACTGTACTGGGCTGGGTGGGAACAATGGTCTTGTAGGTGTAAAGCATCTTCATAGGTTTCTTGATTCCAGTGAATGATAAAGAGAGAACGTGTGATTTGAGCATTAGACTACAGTTCTGGAGACCAGGGTTCAAATCCCACCTGACCCATGGAAATCCACTGGCTGGGATTGGGCAGGTCACACTCTTTTTGCCTTAAAGGAGGACTAAGGCAAACTCCTTGTGGACAGATCTTTCCATTAAAAGCATTACAATAAAGTTTTAAATATACAAATATACAAATATTAAAACAGTATTAAACATCATTAATATTAAAACAATTCAGATTAAATCCATAAAAACATATAAAACCACCGCAGCCCCAGACATGACCTTAAACACCTTCATCTTTAAAAGTCTTAGCCTGCCACTAGAAGAACAGCCGGGGGGGGGGGGCATTCTGACTCCCCTGAGCAAGGAGTTACAGAATCGAGGGGCAGCCACTGAAAAGTCCCCCTCTGGCCTGTTTGATCAGCCAGGAATAGCAAGAATACATGTAGTAGCTCCCACCTCTTCAAGGATCCTGCCCACATCCTCAGGTTGCATACATTGAAAAGTATTCATGTATATATGGTATACAGTCTCACATTTGTCTTTACTCAGCCAGATTGCTTCCATTGGTTTTATGATTGTCTGATTCCAGACAATTATTGGTTAACAGGTTACCTCTAAATCACTATTTCAAAAATATGTTTTAAAAGAGATTGACAGATACGTTATTTATTTATTTATTTATTTATTTACTGCGCTTATATACCGCAATTCTCAGCCCCCAAGGGCGACTCACACTGCTTACACTGCTTATAGTTTGTAATGACTGCTAAATTTCTCATGGTTCAGGGAAACCAAGAAACAGTGGACAGATGGGATAAGGGGACATCTAACCATTGTCCAACAATACACCTGCCAGGCACACTAAAAATCCCAAATTAAGATTCCTAATATATGTTTATACAGGAAAAGAAAGGCTTTATGTGGTGACTGCCTTGAGGGTACAATATGTAAAGCAACACTGACACTGAGCCAAGGTTTCTGGGATACCTTGGGATGGGCAACTTATTCACCAATGCAAATACTATTTTACCTCCCAGAATTCAAATGCTCTAGCTTTGCATGTTGTCATAAAAAGAAGGATATGAAGAACAATAACTACGGGGGACCTGTAGTCTCATGAATGAAATAAGGCATTTGGATATAAGGCAATGTACTGTAAATCTGTGAAAGCCAAGATGGGACATCATATATAGATGTCTAACCCACATCAAGGTTTTCCACATGTCATTTTCCATTACAGATTAACAATCACATAATTCAAATTTATAAGAAAATGCTCACATCTCTGAGGGATGTGTGCCAGACTATATACCAGTGGGGAGAGATAAAAATCCAAATCATACTAGATGAAGAAGAACTTACAAGCAGTGCAGTACTGTACTAAACATGGGTGCATTTTTGCTGTTTCTTCAATCAGGAGATAGATCTTCTTTTTTTTAATATGGAAGTGTGTATGTGTGTGTGTGCATATATGTGTGTGCCTGTGTGTGCAAGCACGCGCACACACACACACACACACACACACACAATCTTTTGAACAATTTATTTAAAAATCTCCCCACATTTGAGTTTTAAGAAGTTTTAAAAATTAGAGAGCAGACGAGCCCTTACAATGCAATAGAAACTAAACCCTTTTAAATTTCCATTATAGACCCTCTTCTTTCTGTATGTTTGTTTTCAGCTTAAGTTTCTCTCTTTTAAATCCTCAGGCATGTTGCCAACTAGAGATCAGCAGCTTTGGAAAGATGAATATGTTACATTGCCTTTTTACTTGTTGGCCAAACAAAAATAAATTATTCTACGCTGTGTTCCAAAACTCCTAAACTCTGGATTCAGAGTGACAGTTTTTGTAGTTTTGGTCTGTTCTGTAGTTTTGCTAAATCATGGAGACCTTTAATTTCAAAATTCTTCCTTTTGTTCAACTTCTAAAAGGTATAGGAGATACCTACATAAAATAGAGAAGTTTAAAGCATTTTGAGTTGAAAATAAATAGGAGTAAGTTAAACTAAATCCCTCCCACCCCCCAAGAAAAACTATAAACACGTTCTCACATCTAAGTCCTCAGTGTATCAAGTTGGACTGACTGTAAGTTACCAGTAATGCTAGAACAGGAGACAATACTTCTGGAACATGGCCATAAAGCTTGGAAAACTCACAACAACCCAGTGATTCTGGCCGTGAAAGCCTTCGACAATACAATGCTTGAGTAGATTTACTCACCTACTACTGAAAAACACAAGTGATTTGAAGATCCTGGAAAGAAGCTTGTTAGAATCCATTGCCCTTCAAAGCAAGTAAGTTCTTCGATTTGTTGTGCCAGCCTCTGTCACATGCAGTGAGCTAATATTTAACATGAAATGCTTATATTCCTCAGTTAGCTTGTCTTAACTGCTTATGTCCCTTCCTGTTGAATTCAGCAACAATCGTATTCTGAGTAACATAATTAAAAATAGTTTTGAGCTTTTCCAGATTCCCACCACCACCACCACCACCACCAGTTGTTCTGACAGCCTTTTAAGGCAGTGAAACCAGTTTTTGTAAATGAGATCTGTAGATACTACATTGGTGTTGATTATAAATAGCCTTGGTATGTTTTTAACCTCTAGGCTGCTTGGAGAGTACAGTGCACAAGGTAAAAAATCTTGTGCATTTCTTTTCTTTAACTCTCCAGTCGCTGAAACTTTCCACAGGATGAGAGGCATGTCAGCATACTGTAAGATCTTATTTCAGGCTGCCAGTAAAGTGTGAAGACATAATGAATCACTGTGGGAAATCTGGCATTAATCCCTTCCCCTAATCTAATCTAAATAATTTTATTTCTCTTATTTTAACGTATGAAGACTTTAATATGTATTTAAGCTACATTGTTCTGAGACTGAAGAGAATACATTGAGCAGCTTCTTAGTATATGATAGCTTAAAGTAGAGCGATAGAAGGAACTTGAATCTTGTACAAGTTCAGTATTGTAGAATTTGCTGTTAGTTTTTATTATTAAGTGTAGACACCTTAATGCAGTTAGGGACTATACAAACCAGAAGTGCCTCCTCCCCCCCCCCCCCCCCCAATCTGTAGCACAATAAAGAACTGTATATGCTAACAGGTCCTACATAAAAAGCACCTCTCAATTTAGCTCCCGAGGTGATGGATTGAACCGTACCCCAAAAGTGATTATCTTTGTGGAAGGCCAAAGTTTTTCCATTTCTTCCTTTCTCCTGAGCAAAATGCCAATCAGTTTGATAATTACTCTATAAAGAAGGCTGTGTTCAGATATCAACATTGAGATTTAAGAGTGCTGTGGAAAAACACTGTTTTTCTGTATTCTACTTTGAAATATTTATCTCAGTTTAACTCTGGAATGTTGGTGGGTCTTTTCAGAATTGTGATCATTCCCCCCCCCCCCCCAATAAGGACCAAGTATTGTTGATGTTCTGGATTCAAAAGTAGTTATTTCTCACCTTTGTCTTGAATTCCAAGCATATTTTGGGAGCGGGGGGTGGGTGGATTGGCACAGCACAGTGTCTCTGAGTTCTCATCACACTTCCCAAGTCCTTCTGGTTTGTCAACAATTGTTTTATTGTATTGTCAGTGACCATTACAAAAACAGAAAAGCAAAACACCTCTGGTTGGTTCCTTTTTATTTTCTTACTAGGTCTGATTCACCTCATTTGATGTCACATCACTTGATGACTATCAGCCAAATGAGTGAATTAACTCAATTGAACAATACTGTGAGTTGACATTGACTGATATGGAAATCCTGATGATAGTGGATTAGTAAGTGGCTGATTTATTTGTTACTACCGTTAGCCAAAGATGCACATTTTGCATGAGCTAATCCAAAGACTTTCTGTCAGAGTGAGATTATTCCCCCGCTCCCCAACTGAGATTGTTATTTCATTTTCCCTCTCATTTTCATTATCCTGCCATTTGGGATAGTGCAGTAGCCAAGAGCAAATATCAACTACAGAATTGCTCTTAAATAACTATCCTTCAGATTGGGTTGTTGTAGGTTTTTCTGGGCTATATGGCCATGTTCTGGAGGCAATTTTTCTCCTGACGTTTCGCCTGCATCTATGGCAAGCATCCTCAGAGGTAGTGAGGTCTCAGATTGTTGTTGTTGTTGTTCATTCGTTCAGTCGTCTCCGACTCTTCGTGACCTCACGGACCAGCCCACGCCAGAGCTCCCTGTCGGCCGTTACCACCCCCAGCTCCCTCAAGGTCAGTCCAGTCACTTCAAGGATGCCATCCATCCATCTTGCCCTTGGTCGGCCCCTCTTCCTTTTGCCTTCCACTTTCCCCAGCATAATTGTCTTCTCTAGGCTTTCCTGTCTCCTCATGATGTGGCCAAAGTACTTCAACTTTCTCTAGTATCTTTCCCTCCAGTGAGCAGTCAGGATTTATTTCCTGGAGGATGGACTGGTTGGATCTTCTCGCAGTCCAAGGCACTCTCAGAACTTTCCTCCAACACCACAGCTCAAAAGCATCATCTTCCTTCGCTCAGCCTTCCCTAGGTCCAGCTCTCACATCCGTAGGTTACTACAGGGAATACCATGGCTTTGACTAGGCGGATCTTTGTTGCCAGTCTGATGTCTCTACTCTTTACTATTTTATCGAGATTGGACATTGCTCTCCTCCCAAGAAGTAAGCGTCTTCTGATTTCCTGGCTACAGTCTGCCTCTGCAGTAATCTTTGCACCTAGAAATACAAAGTCTGTCACGGCCTCCACGGTTTCTCCCTCTATTTTCCAGTTGTCAATCATTCTTGTTGCCATAATCTTGGTTTTTTTGACGTTTAGCTGCAACCCGGCTTTTGCGCTTTCTTCTTTCACCTTGATTAGAAGGCTCCTCAGCTCCTCCTCGCTTTCGGCCATCAGAGTGGTGTCATCTGCATATCTGAGGTTGTTAATGTTTCTTCCAGCATTTTCACCCCAGCTTTGCATTCATCAAGCCCCCCACATCGCATGATGTGTTCTGCATACAAGTTAAAAAGGTTGGGTGAGAGGATGCAGCCTTGCCGTACGCCTTTCCCAATCTTGAACCAGTCTGTTGTTCCGTGGTCAGTTCTGACTGTTGCTACTTGGTCCTTGTACAGATTCCTCAGGAGGAGAGACAAGGTGGCTTGGGATGCCCATCCCACTAAGAACTTGCCACAATTTATTATGATCCACACAGTCAAAGGCTTTAGAATAGTCAATGAAGCAGAAGTAGATGTTTTTCTGAAACTCCCTGCCTTTCTCCATTATCCAGCGGATATTGGCAATGTGGTCTCTCGTTCCTCTGCCTTTTCTAAACCCAGCTTGAACATCTGGCAACTCTCGCTCCATGTATTGCTGGAGTCTTCCTTGCAGGATCTTGAGCATTACCTTACTGGCATGAGAAATAAGGGCCACTGTACGGAAGTTTGAGCAGTCTTTCGCATTTCCCTTTTTGGTATGGGGATATAAGTTGATTTTTTTCCAGTCTGATGGCCATTCTTGTGTTTTCCATATTTGCTGGCATATGGCATGCATCACCTTGACAGCATCATCTTTTAAGATTTTAAACAGTTCAGCTGGGATCCCGTCGTCTCCTGCTGCCTTGTTGTTAGCAATGCTTCTTAAGGCCCATTCAACCTCACTCCTCAGGATGTCTGGTTCTAATTCATTCACCACACCGTCAAAACTATCCTCAATATTATTATCCTTCCTATACAGATCTTCTGTATAGTCTCGCCACCTTCTCTTGATCTCTTCAGCTTCTGTTAGGTCCCTGCCATCTTTGTTTCTTATCATACCAATTTTTGCCTGAAATTTACCTCCAATGTTTCTAATTTTCTGGAAGAGGTCTCTTGTCCTTCCTATTCTGTTGTCTTCTTCCACTTCCATGCATTGCTTATGTAAAAATAGTTCCTTATCTTCTGGCTAACCTCTGGAATTGCGCATTTAACTGGGCATATCTCCCCTTATCCCTGTTTCCTTTTGCTTTCCTCCTTTCTTGGGCTACTTCCAGTGTCTCAGCAGACAACCATTTTGCCTTGTTGGTTTTCTTTTTCTTTGGGACGTACTTTGTTGCCGCCTCCTGAACAATGTCGCGGACTTCTGTCCATAGTTCTTCTGGGACTCTGTTTACTAAATCTAGTCCTTCAAATCTGTTCTTCACTTCCACTGTATATTCGCTAGGAATGTTAGTGAGATCATATCTAACTGGTCTGTGTATTTTCCCTGATCTCTTTACTTTTATTCTAAATTGGCAATAAGAAGTTCGTGATCTGAGCTACAGTCAGCCCCAGGTCTTGTTTTCACCGACTGGATGGATGTCCGCCACCTTTGGCTGCAAAGGATGTAGTCAATCTGATTTCGGTGTTGACCATCTGGTGAGGTCCATGTATAAAGTCGTCTTTTAGGTTGTTGGAAGAGAGTATTCGTTATACACAGCGAGTTTTCATGACAAAATTCTATCAGTCTGCATCCTGCTTATTTTATTGTCCCAGACCATGCTTGCCTGTGATCCCAGTGTTCATTTGACTACCCACCTTGGCATTCCAGTCTCCTGTAATGAAAATAATGTATGTTTTTGGTGTATTATCCAGTAGGTCCTGCAGATCCTCATAGAACTGATCTACTTCTGCTTCTTCAGCAGCTGTGGTTGGGGCATATATTTGGATCAAATATCCAAATATATGCTCCTTCAGATTGCTAACTCCTTAATGAAGAAAGGGTTCTATCCTGCCAATCCATGCAGCAGATAACTGCCCTTCTAACCATGTGAGTTGGCTAGAGAGGGATTGGTTTATAGTTGTTACTCTAAAGCAGACCTACCCCTTTGATTGATGCATTTAGTGCAGTTGTTCCCAACCTTGGTCCTCTAGGTGTTTGGAACTTCAATTCCCAGAAACCCAGTTTGGCCAACTGTCAGGAAATCTCAAACCATTAAACCAGCATAGCTTTTAGTGCAACATAGGCAAGTCATGCTGATAGCTGGAATGGTCTGTGAGAATAAACAAATCCAGAAATCTGGAAATACTTTTAGTAGGATTTTACGTGTATCTGTTGCTCCTGAGCATGAGACAAGGTGTAGTTGCATTCATGTCTTGATGCTTATCTTGAACTCATTGGCTACTATATGAACAGAATGTCAGGCTAATAGGGCTTTGGTCAGATCTAACATTGCTTTTCTTATATTTGTAGTACCAACTCAGAATTTGCTAATTGGAGAAGCTTTACAGTCCAGTTGAAAAAAAACAGCCTTGTTTACTTTTTTGAAATTTTTCAAACAACATCCCTTTTCTATAGTTATTGAATGCAAATGACTAAATAATAAAAACTTGATGGGTCCAAGCAGTTATGAGCTTAAGTACTAGAGCATACTGAAATTCCTAATTGAAAAGAAATTGGGTAGTAGGATAAAGATAGTTGATATAATAGATGTTTGGTTATGGAAAATATTATTACTATGAATATTGTATATTTATACTTGTATTTCGTACTGTGCACCCATCTAAAAT